TCCATCCTAAATAACTACGCTCGGAACCCCAACCGGCGAAAGCAGCACCTAAACTAAGGCCTTCAAACATCAAAGACACTTGGAGCTTCATGGGCACTTTTTAACCCCGACTATAAGTCTACTCAGAACCTACTTAGGGGCCTGAGGGGGGCTTATCAGCACAGTTGCAACTGGGCTTCAGGATGCACTCCGGAGACTTTCGGCGCGGATGATGAAGAACAGTCAGAACCCATTTTCGAGGCCTAAACCCTAAACCCTAAACCCTAAACCCTAAACCCTAAACCCTAAACCCTAAACCCTAAACCCCTGCTGAAACCAACTCCTGGTGCAGCTCAGGGGTGCAAGACTGCAAGAGGGTTCAGGGGTTATGGCTGAATTCCGGGGTTCAAAACCCTAAACCCTGAACCAATAACCCTAAACCCTAAACCCTAAACCCTAAACCCTAAACCCTAAACCCTAAACCCTAAACCCTAAACCCTAAACCCTAAACCCTAAACCCTAAGGCACGGGACCCCCCCCCCCCCCTCCCCCCCACCCCACCTCCAGATTTGATGCTTTCTTGTGGACGGCAGCTACGGCCTCCTCGACGTTGTCCTTTAAGGTGGGTTTTCATTCTTTAAGGTTTCGGGGTTTAGGAAGTTTAGGGTTTAGGGTCTAGGGGTTTAGGAAGTTTAGGGTTTAGGGTTTTAGGGGTTTAGGAAGTTTAGGGGTTTAGGGGTTGAGGGGTTTAGGGGTTTAGGGGTTTAGGAAGTTTAGGGGTTTAGGGGTTTAGGGGTTGAGGGGTTGAGGGATTTAGGGGTTTTAGGGGTTGAGGGGTTTAGGGGTTGAGGGGTTGAGGGGTTTAGGGGTGCAGGGACGTGCTGATTTCGTGGTCTTAGTTGTGGTTTGAGGCTTAGGCTTAAGGTTTCGCAGGGGTCTAAGGTTTAGAGGTTTCATGGCTTCGGGGTTTTTGGGGTCTCGGTCTCGCTTCTAGGGATTTATGGGTGTCTAGTTTAGGGCTTTTCGGCTCGGGTTTGGGGATTAAGGGGCGGCTTAAGCTGGCTAGATGTGATAACCCTAAACCCTAAACCCTAAACCCTAAACCCTAAACCCTAAACCCTAAACCCTAAACCCTAAACCCTAAACCCTAAACCCTAAACCCTAAAGAGCGCGTTCCGGGAGATGGATGTCGCTCGTCTCGCTTGCGGCCGTGACGAGGCCGCCTGGACCCCCTGGCTCTTCGTAGGGAATGACGGAAATTCGGGCCCTGTATAACTTTTAAGGGGTTATATTAGAAGGCCCAAAATTCCCTCATTCCCTACAAAGAGCCTGCGAATTGAGGTTGCGGAGGCTTCCTTGGAGATCGCGGCATGCACTTGCTCTGCAGGCCCTTGCACTTCGACATTTGAATCCCCAAAAGCACTCCCTAAACCTAGAACCCTACACCCAGGATCCGGTCTTCATCCTAAACCCTACTAAACCCCTAAACCCTAAACCCTTGCCCGAAGCTTCAGACCCTGTCCTCATCCGAAACCCGAGACCCTGGACCCCAAACCCCCAACATCCCATATACCCCTAAACCCCTAAGCCTCTAAACATCTAAACCCTAAATTCGCCCATGATATTCGGGCTTAGGGTATTCGGGTGTTAGGGATCAGGTAAGTTCGTCCAGGCCAAGGGGCTGCTTTGCGGGGGGGAAACCTCGCAAATCCTCATGCGTGATTTAGGGCTTACGAATTGAAGCTTGTGATTTAGTATAGGCCTTTAAGCCCTAAACCCTAAATCCTAAACCCTAAGCCCTAAATCCTGAACCCCAAGCCCCATAACACCCTAAACCGAGCGGCGAAGAAGGCGCCGATGACGACAGCGGACGAGAGCGACGCCAAGGCTACATCCTCCACAACGCGCACTGCGCTGCACTTCGGTTTAGGGTTTAGGGTTTAGGGTTTAGGGTTTAGGGTTTGGGATTTAGGTTCCTTTGGAGTTGAGAGGTTTTTGGGGCTTGGAGTCTTAATTAAACAAAACTGAGGTTTAACATTTAGGCTTTATGGCCTGGGGTGTTAGAGGCAGGTTTAGAGGTGCAGGGTTTATGTGGGTTTAGGGCCGCCCTGAATTCTGGAAACTTTCCTGAAATTCGGGAGGCCAACTACAGCTTCGGCTACTGTACCCTCCTTTGTTAAAGGGCTTTCGGAATTTTCGAGACCGCCTAAAAGGCACCTGTGAGGTCTGCTTGTACGTAAAAGGTCGTTCTGGTGTCGCTGCCCCTAAGCCCTCGGCCAAAAAATCTCTGAAGGCCCTCGAGCCCTTGCACCCTAACACGCTGAAGCCTAGAAGCCAATGCCCCTTAACCCTAAACCCTAAACCCTAAGCCCTAGACCCTAAACAACCTGAGTCCCACCCCCGCTGCTTGCGCTCAGGCCTTCATTCCGCGCTGTCGGCAGGACACCTCACTGCGGCCTCGACTTGCCGCAGCAGGGAAGAGGGTTTCAGGGTTTAGGGTTTCAGGGTTTCAGGGTTTCAGGGTTTAGGGGGTTTAGGGTTTAGGGTTTTTGGGGGGCTTGCAGGGTTTCAGGGATTAGGAATGGTGACCGCCTTCTCGGGGCCTTTTGTTGGGTTCCCGAAGCAAATCCTGGCCAGGGCTTTTTTGTAAGAACCTCACAACCTACATAGTCCCCCTGCAGGTAAGGTTGCCTACGGGTCCTCCATGCTGCTTCATAGCCTGCAAACAACTAGGTCTTGGGTTTGTGAGGAGGGACCTTAAACCCTAAACCCTAAACACTGAACCCTAAGCAAGGTCGTAGGTTTCAGGGTTTCGGATCGAGGCTTATTTGGGCCATGCTTCGGGTTGGGCGTGTCAAGGCACCGTCTTCATAAGATCCCCGCTAGACCCAAGAGCAACCTAGGAAAAACAAGCCCCTTGTTGGTTTCAAGGGGCTTGCAAGGGAACCATAACTCCGGAAGGGCAAAAAGGGGAACAGGCTGATTAACCCTGAGGACATAGCTTTCAAATCGGGATCCGCCACCAACTTCCTCCAAATTTCCTTTCTTTTCCTTTTCTCTTTTCACTCCATTCGGTTGTTTTTCACTCAGTAATTAGTTTACATAGACTCTCAATCTCATTTACTATTTTATGAAACTGCGTGCCCTGACCTGATTACATTCTAATGGTCACCAGATTCTAGCCATTAGAATTGGTGAGGTTTCTGGGAAGAATACAACGTCCTGCCTGCTTCCCCTTTAAGCAAAGGGTCGTCGGGCCCACACCCTTTGATCCTCAACTCCAAACCAAGAATCCCTAAACCACAACTTTAGGGTTTAGGGTTACCTTAACTCACAAACACCCTATAAACCCCAGAACCCCCAGCTTCTTCCCCTCATGACTTGCAGATCCAAAGGCCCCTGAAGACACCTGAACACAGCCAAAGCTCCCGCAGCGTACTGCTGCTGTTGCCGCAGGGACCTCGGCACTCTTCAGAGAGAGCACTTGGGCTTCAGGGTTGTTGTTCATTTTTTGAGTGGGGGAGGGGGGGGGGGGGGGTGGTTATTGTATGAGGTGTAGGGTTTAGGGATTTGGGGTTTAGGGTGGTCTAGGGGGGTGCAGGGCTTCAGGGCTTAGGGTGCAGTGTCCGATGCCAGCGACTCTCCGAATAAAGGGCATTGAAGGGCATGCTCTGAAACAGAGTTGAGGGCTTAGTGTTTAGGAGCACTCAGCCCTTTGCCCAACACGTATCCCAAGACCGATCCCTTCCGGAAAGATAAACGAAGATGAACGCCAACCCTAAACTTCCTGGGTTTCGAGTCTAGGGCTCAGGGCTTCAGCATCACAAGCTTAACGAGCTTCACCCTAAGCCATACAAACTCCAAACACCCCAAACCCTGGCCACTCCCACCCCTGCCCACCACCCCCCCCCCCCCCCCCTGCATTCACGTGCAGCCCTGATACTTCATGAGCTCCCGTACCTGGGATGGGAGACTGGAGGGTATTGAAGTGCAAGAGAGTTGAGGGGGGGGGGGGGTCTGGTTTTAGGGTTGGGGATTCTAGGGGAGAACACGGACTGTTCTGCGGAAGGCGCAGCCCTGTGAGTGCCACGATGTGGAACCCAGACCCTAAACCCTATATAAATCCCTAAACCCTAAACCCTAAACCCTAAACCCTAATTCCTAAACCCTTCAGTAGCTCGGCTCCGATAGGCAGGGCAACTATTAGAGCCTGGGGCTTCCTAAAAGGGGACTATCTCGAAGAATATATATATATATATACACATATATGTACATATATATATATATATATACACATGATGTGTATTACTGTATTATACACAAATTTTATCAACGACCATTCGTGGTAGTTAGAAACTTGTTTAACCTGCGGCGCCTTTGGACAGAGGACTTCCCCTTGAGTCTTGTTGCTGACGAGGTTTGGAGGTGCTTATAGGTTTATATAGAGTTTGGGGCTTGGGTTGAAATGTGCCTGCTTCGTAAATGAGGCATTAATTCTGGTCTGGCATTGGGAGCATGGCGGCAGATTTTCGGAACACAGCCGCCTCAGTTTGGTCACTATTCTCGTAAGCCAAAAGTTGGTCTTGTTTGTGTGGGGTCCGAGTAGTGAGCAGAGTTGTTTCAAGGGCTACAGTTGATTTACTAGTTTTCCTCCAGCTGTGAGTTGTTGACTCTAGTGCTATCAACATTGCCGTTCACAACTGCTTCAAGGTGCGATCTATCGTACGGGACAGCAGGCTCAGCGAAACACCTGCCGACTTGAAGTCTTCAAGCGCTTGCCTTGCGGCAGTGATGCGATCTGGTGCCAGTTGCTGCAGTTTGAGAATCATTTCCTTGACTTTCCAGCGCGTCTGCTTGGATTTGAGAAGGACAGTCGTAAGGTATGTTTCGGCGAATGGGCCGTCGGGGGCAATCCCGAGTCCTTTCATTTTGGCTTACGTGGCCAGCACCTCTGGCACAGGCGCGGTGCTGTAAGCTCCTATCCCCAAAGAGCCCAATATTGCTTCATTCAGGAATCTTCCTTAAATCATATTAAGGGCCCCTATATGATTTAAGGTATATTGCTTAATTAAGCAATATTGGGCTCTTTGGGTCAAGTTCGTAAATGTGACAATGTTGGGCTGCAAATCCAGGTCCAGCAATACTTGGAAGAGGTACTTGGCAGCATTGTGGTGATTTCCTTCCGCTTGCCAACAAGCACGAAGGGCAGATGAGAGATGCGCTACATTTATGTCAACGCTGCTTCCATTCATCTGGTCCAGAACCACTGCGGCTGATTCGACATCTCCTTCAGTCGCAGCTGCAGCGATGCGAGCAGCTCCAAGAGGCTCATCAAGTTGACATGTGCTGATGGCCTCTGTCCAGATGTCGCGCACCCTGTGCATGCGACCAAGGCTTGTAAAGATTCTTATAGCTGCTGTGTATGATGTCGCAGTTTTGTTGATACCAAGGTTGCAAAGGCTGTCGTAGATTTGGGCACCGTGCTCGTTCTGATTGCACGCAATAGAGGCTTGCATGACGGCATTGAAAATTTGGATCTCACTGCTGGTCGAGGTGGCAAAAACCTGTCGCACTTGTCGCCAATCTCCTCTCTCTCGTGCCTCACAAATCAGAGACAAGATACGTTGCCCCTCCTTACTCAACTCACCATCGATAGGACCGGATCTCTGGCTTAGCGCCAGCCCCTTCCGCTCACGCAATGTGCTTAGCGGGTGCTGTCCGCCTGTTGCAAAACCGTCCGGAGAGATGCTTGACCACAGCAACGTCATCAGAATAGACAAACGTCCACGTTTGCCTATGCTCGCCCTCATGGCGTCGCTGGTAGGTTTTGGCATCGTCTATAGCCCGATTGTCGCGCAAGTACACAAATCCCATGTCTTTAGGCTACTACCAGTTGCTTGACGACTTCGGGGGTCTGCGACTTCTACTTATGAGACGACCTTCTGAGGACAATGCGTGAAGCTTAGGGACCTGCAGGCCATGAAGGTTTTACTGAGTACTTTGTGAGCGTATGAACTCTTGTCAGCGGTGCCTTTGGCAAGGTTTTAAGCTTCCAAATTGGGGTTTAGGACGAAGGGCTGTATACTGTCCTGAAAGCCTATTTGCGCGCTGAAGACTCGGGAGGCTGTCATTCTCAACAAAAGTTCTGAGAGCCTCGATCAGCAAAAACATCAAGAAGCCCCCGAATCCTATTATGATAGGAAACGAAGCAAAGAAGCTTGCGCTTTAAATAATGCTCGGGTTTAGGGCTTTAAGGTTTCGGGTTTAGGGTTTACAGTAGTGTTTAGGGTTTGGGGCCAAACCAAGCTTTCATCTTGTCCGAAGTGAAGTGCATCTAAATGACAGAAAGTAGCTGTAATTTGTTCTTACTCATGAGGGCTTAAGACAAGAGGGGACCCCAGCATAGACCCCAAACAAGCACGACCAAACTGAAACCATTCACCCTAAACCCTAAACCCTCAACCCTCAACCCTAAACCCTGAACCCTAAACCCTAAGCAGAACCCGACGAGGCCACGCGGCACGCTCTGTCGCAGCCGTTGCGAGTTCCGCTAGGACACCGTGGCGGTGGACCGCGCGATGGAGGTCCTTCTTCAGATCAATTTGGGAGGCTGGGAAGGTTGTTGGTGGATCGTTTGGGGCTTTTCAGGTCGGGAGTTCTACCATGCCTATCCGTGCCCAACTATGGATATCTTAATACAATAGACACTCAACCCTCAACTCCACTAAGGAACGCACTTTTGCAGAGACCCACAAAGAATGGTGGTGGCGGGGGAAATTGAGATCAAGACCCACTTGGCGCAGTTGGGGTCGTGGGCTTTGCAGGCCCTAAACCCTAAATGCTAAAAACCCTAAAACCATAAAAACCCTAAAAACCCTAAAATCCCCTAAAACCCCTAAAACCCCTGAAAACCCTGAAACAATAAACACAACCACCCCCCCCCCCCCCAAAACAAAAAAAAAAAACTAAAAACCCTAAACCCTTTAAGGGTTTCGGGTTTAGGCTCTTGGGTTTAGGGAGGTTGATGGTTGCCTGCGCAGCTTCTTCGTTTTGGCTGCATCCTGCATTCCTAAGTAGACCCTAAACCCTAAACCCTAAGCCCTGAACCCTGAACCCTGAACCCTAACCCCTAAACCCTGAACCCTAAACCCTAAACCCCAAACCCTAAACCCCAAACCCTCAACCCTAACCCCTAAACCCCTAAACCCCTAAACCCGAAACCCAAACCCCTTTCAAACTAGGGTTTAGGGTTCAGGGCTCCTGCTCTCCCTACACCCTGGCAACCCGTTCTTTGTATTTCGAAGGGTTTTGCAGGCCTTAGCGCTCGGGCAACAAAAACGCGAACACTCTAGAACCCCTAAACCCCTAAACCCCTAAACCCCTAAACCCCCAAACCCGTAAACCCCTAAACCCTATACCCTGAACCCTAAACCCTGAACCCTAAACCCTAAACCCTATACCCTCAACCCTAAACCCTGAAACCTAAACCCTACACCCTAAACCCCTAAACCCTTAAACCCACGCCTTGCGAGAGCTCGCAGCTGCCTGGCCCATGCTGAACCAGCCTGAGGCTTCAGCTGGTTTAGGGTTTAGGGTTTAGGGTTTAGGGGTTTAGGGGTGTAGGGTTTAGGGTTTAGGGTTTAGGGGTTAGGGGTGTAGGGTGTAGGGTGTAGGGTTTAGGGTTTAGGGTTTAGGGTTTAGGGTTTAGGGGTTAGGGGTGTAGGGTTTAGGGGTTGAGGCTTTAGGGTTAGGGCTTTAGGGTTCAGGGTTTAGGGGTTCTAGGGAGCATTGGGGACAGTAGAGTTTACCTGGGGCCCTATTTACCTACAGTTTTAAGGGTTATGCCTACTGATTAAGGGGTAGTTGCTACTACTAAACTGTAGGAAAATAGGGTCCAAGGTAGGCTGTAGGGTTGGAGGGTTCTTCCGAAACCCTAAACCCTACTCCCTACATCACCCTACAACCTAAGCCCTGAAACCCTAAGCCCTACTCCCTACATCACCCTACACCCTAAACCCTGAACCCTGAGCCGGTAGGAAGGCACCCACTACTGACTTGGCAGCCCAGTAACCATATTCTAACAAGGGCACCCTTTTTAGGTGGGTTACTTTATATTGGAACCCAGAAGGCCCAGAACCAAAAAAGAGGGTAAAGGGTACCACTGGGCCACCAGGCTGTCCAGGGCTTCAAAGGGTGGATTTTCATGGTTAGCAAAGGCTTGCGGCGGATGCTTCCCTTGCCCTGTATGGAGCTACAGAGGCTCTTGCGTTTGGGTGAGTTTTTTCGGGGGTCAAAAGGGATCTGGGTTTCGTGGTTGGGTAGCTTGAGCTCAACCACTGGAACTTGCGTACGCACACTGCTGCGGACTTCATGAGACCCCGAGTGGCACCTGGGACACTATTTACCTACGGCTTCAAGGGTTACACCCCTAAACCCTAAACCCTAGACCCTAAACCCTAAACCCTAACCCCTAAACCCTAAACCCTAAGTGCTACTTCAGGGGTAGTTACTACTAAACTGTAGGTGAAAGAGGTAATAAGTACACTCCAAAGCCCTGAAGGTGCGGCGCAAGCTGCGTCGGGGTCGGCTTGGGCAGATGAGGAGGTCTCGCAGTGCGGCCGTCAGCGGAAGTGACAGGGGCCTAGCAGTGGCAGCACATTGGGGCTTACCTGAAGGCTCCTAATGTAGTTCCACATCTTTGTTTTTTTTGGGAGGGGGGCTTGTTCTAGAGGTTTATAGTATACTACCCTCAAAAGGTGCTACAAAGCCTCTAGGTAGGGTTCACTTATAGTATGGGATCCTGCGAACACCTCGCCGTCTCAGCCAAAAACCCCAGTTCCCCTAAACCCCTTCGTACACCACAGGCCCTAAATCCTTTAAACCCTTTAACCCCTTCAAACCCCTCAAAGCTTTCAAACCCGTCAAACCCTTAAAACCCTTTAAACCCTTCAAACCCTTTAAACCCTTTGAACCCTTCACAATGGAAACCCCTAAACCCTAAACCCTAAACCCTAAACCCTGAGAGCCCAACCGGAACTGCAAGGCTTGCCGCAGGGACACGGCCACTCGATCCTGAGGTACAAATTTATGGGCTCAGGGTTTATAATGTTTAGGGTTTTGGTTCTGGGGTTTTGGGGTTTTGGGGTTTGGGGCCTTTTTGTTGTGAGGGTGTAGGCGGCAGGGTGAGGACATTGTCGGGCGTTGCGGTCCATTTAGGGTTGAGGGTGAGGACATTTTGTAGGGTTTAGGGTGTTTTCTGTCCTTGATAGCACTGTAGCATTTGAGGCTCGTATTTGGGGTCTTCTCGCTGAGCTCTGGAAGCTACACTCCGGTTATGCAAGCCAAAGACAGACAACATGCCTGCCTGCTGGTAGGCTGCTCTGGGGAGGAGAGGAGGTGTCTTAGGGCGCAAAAGCTCATGGTGCTAGACCCTAAACCCTAAACCCTAAACCCTAAACCCTAAACCTAGCATGGCGACCTCTAGCTGCTCCGCCAAGAAGGAACTTAAGACACGTGAAGTGAGATGCATGAGCTTATTAGGGCCTCAGGGCTTGCAGAACAAAGCCAGGCGTTTTCACCGAAGAATATAAACTAAGCTTCCATGTGCTGACGACAAAATCTGAAAAAAAAAAAACAGGTGTTTCCGAAGCAGTCGCGTGTGTGATGTGTTTATGCCACCGGCACTTCTTGAGGGTATGTTTTTCTCTTGCCGGTGTGTTTCGTTCTCTGCAGCTGCCAGCTTGGTATCACCCTGTTCAACTCTGCGAGACTCTGCATGCCTCGCAGTTTAGGGTAGGGTCATCCGGTTTAGGGTTTAGGGTTTAGGGTTTAGGGATAAGGGTTTAGGGTTTAGGGTAGGGCCATCCGGTTTAGGGTTTAGGGCTTAGGGCTCATCGCAATTTAGGGTAGGGTTTGTAGGTTTAAGGGCTCATGCTTCACTGTGAACCATTTCTGCAGGATCACTGTGCTTGACCAGCAACTCAAGTTTCTACACATATCCCCAAGGGAAGCCCGCGCTGCAAGCATTCCAAACCCCCAAAGCCTTAACCATAACTACTATTTGCGTGAGAACCCCCCCCCCCCCCCCTCCCTCAAAAAAATCAGGAAATAATGATACCCTTATTACCCCTGTAGGGAAGAACATTTTCACTTTTTTCGGGGGGGGGGGGGGGGTTCATAAGCAAACAGTAGAGAGCCCGCAAAGAGACGTCTCTGAAGCGCAGTCCACGATTCCAAGTCCACGGTGCGAGCAATCGGCGGGATCTGTGCAAGGAATGGGTTTTCGTTTACAAAACCCCTTTCAGCCCTAAGACCACTACACCCCAAACACCAACCCCCCCCCCCCCCCAAACCCTAAACCCTATAAGCCCCTAAAACCCTAAGAGCCCTTTTATAAGCCCTACAGCCCTAAGCCCTGCACCCTGAGCCGCCGGAGAAGGGGTGCTCGCTTACGGGCTTTTTTTTTTTTTTTTAATTTCTTTGTTTTTGTTTTTTTTTTTTTTAAGTTCATTTTTTTGAGTTTGTTTTTTAATTTCTTTTTTTTTGGGTTTTTTAATTTCTTTTTTTTGGGGGGACCATCTTTATCGCTTAGTGTTGAGGATATCGCTTAGTGGTTAGGAACTCCCTAAGGCAAGAGAGGCACTAGAGATGTCCAAGTTGTGGGAAACCTTTTGAACCCAAGCTGGTCCCTAAACAATCTGAACCCTAAACCGTCCCGCCCCCACTCAAAACAGCTAAACACCCCGAACCCCACACCCTGAAACCCCTCAAACCTCCACATCTCCCAAAGAATTCCCGAAACCACAAGTATCCCTATACCGCCGTAAACCCTAAACCCCCCAAACCCGAAACCCTAACCCCCTAAATCCCAAACCCCAAACCCTCAACCCCAAAATCCAAACCCGAACCCCCTTCCCTCCCCACACCCCAACAGAGACACCCTAAACCCTAAACCCTAAACCCTAAACCCTAAACCCTAAACCCTAAACCCCAAACCCTAAACCCTAAACCCTAAACCCCAAACCCTAAACCCCAAACCCTAAACCCTAAACCCTAAACCCCCTCCCTCCCCCACACCCCAACAGAGCCTGCAACAGCGCTGCAAGGAGTCGCGCGGCCGCGGCCAGGGAGGCAGCGACCACCTCGCCGGGCGCCTGGCGGTCCCAACAAGTTCGGGCGGAAGGTGGGCCAAATGAGGGTTTTAGGGCTTAGGGTTTTTGGGGTTTTAGGGTTTTCGGGTTTTTGGGTTTTGGGGTTTTAGGGGTTTTTGGGTTTTTCGGGTTTTTGGGTTTAGGGTTTTCGGGTTTAGGGTTTTAGGGACTCCCCAAAGCAACTCGAATCCCCCAGAGTTTCCCCAGCATGCCCGCGTCTGCCCTTTGTCGCACGTGGCCATTGTTTGTCTGCAGTGAAACTTCTGTGTGAGCCCGGGGGCCCAGTTTCCAAGAGAAACAGAGGAGACGTAAGCACAAAGAACCCTAACCCTAAACCCTAAACCCTAAACCCTAAACCCTAAACCCTAAACCCTAAACCCTAAACCCTAAAGTCCCGAAGGCGGCATAAGGTTGCGAACTGAGCCCCTAGGCTCTAGTCCAGGGTCGAACCCTGGGCTCCTGGGTTCCGAACTCCCAGCCGAAGAAGCTGAAAGAAGGGCCAGGGTTTCTTTAGGGTTTAGGGTTTAGGTTTTAGGGTTTAGGGTTTCTTTAGGGTTTAGGGTTTTTAGGGTTTAGGGTTTGTTTAGGGTCTAGGGTTTTCTTTAGGGAATCGGATTCTGGCGATTATAGGGTTTATAGGGTTTATAGGGTTTACGCTGAAGGGGCAGAGCCACTTGACTTGACGCGCTGTGGCACTTGCGTGTGAGCACTCTACGTCACTTCTACGAGAAGGCAAAATTTCCCAGAGAGCCCAATCCCCCTTGATTCAGGAATATATCATATCAAGGATCCCTACATAAATGAAGGTATATTCCTTCATTCAGGGGTACCTTAAACCATATCAAGGATCCCTAGATAAATGACGGTATATTCCTTAATTCAGGGGTCTTGGGCTCTCTGGGAGTTTGAAGGGATACCACCTTGAGGACTGCACAGGTGAAGAAGAGTTCATATGAGCAGACGTCCCCAGGAAGAAGAGCTGAGAAGACTTTGCTCAGCGTCTGGTGGTGCCTGCTTAAAGACTCAGGCAAGAGGCTTGCGCCCGGAAATAAAGGAAGTCACGCCCATCTCCTGCTGCTTCGCAGTATGCTGCAGGATGTACGCCTGCTCCTCCTCCGCCGTCCATGACGTCATCTTCTCACAGAGTTCGAGGATCTCCTCTTCGCTCGCGTCCTCAAAGAAAGAATCTGTCTTGGCCCACTTCATCGGCTTGCTCTTGAAGATCGAGAACTGCTCCTTAAGAGGGATATCGTACAAGGTCCTGGTGTGGGGAGTGACCACCACGTCCACGAAGCCAACGTCCTTCAGCAAGTCTTGCAGCTCCTCCACTTTGGGGAATCGCTCAATGTAGCGTGCAAGGACGACGGGGAGTAGGTTCTTGAACCAGAAACAGTCACGTGCCTGCTCGTGCCCCACCGTGTTGATCAGCACCTCACCACCAGGGCGGATCATGTCAAATAGTGCCTTGAAGATCTCGCGGATGCGATGCAGGACGTGGGCACGATCTGTGTTTTGGCTAGGTTCTTTGGCATTTACCACAGTAAGGTGGTGCAGCACCTGCACGATGATTGCAACATCGGCGTGCGTGGCAGGGTCTGATGCGAGCTTTGGAAGTTCTTGCTGCGCACACCCATGCGTACAGAGCACGTTGTCGAACCCCTCCTCTTGGCAACGCCTCTCGCAGTGGGCCAACATGGCCTTGTTGTACTCGAGCGCACGCACCGACTTGGCATGGCGCGCGATGGCCAACACATTGTTGCCAGTTCCCGCACCAACTTCAATGACATCCTTCCCGGCACAGTGCTCATTCAAAACATCAGCGAACAAGCACTTGCGGAGCTCAGCGTAGGTGTCGGCGGTGTCAGAGTAGTTGCAGAAATCCGGCACCAGATTGGAGACCACTTCGGCCATGTGGGCAAACCACTGACCTCGGGAACACTGCCAACCCTTGAATTCTTCACCGAATAAGGGTCCCAAAACCCCACAAACATACACGCCTAGCCCCTAAACACCAATGCCTATAGTGTCGGAGGCTGAAGAAATGCCAAGATTATTGCCTTCAACCACTTTTCTGGAGAGCGAAAGCAGAAACTACCCTTGAAACCCTAAACCCCAACACGAACCAAACATTCTCCCAGTTGTGTAGGCCCGAGGCCCATGCCAGTGGGCAGTGGGGGCTCCCTAAACCCTAAACCCTAAACCCTAAACCCTAAACCCGAAACCCCAAACCCTAAACCCTAAACCTCCTTGGGCATTCTTGGCCTGACAGGGTGTGGCCCCGGCGGTCAGGATGCAAGGGCTGGGAGTCTAGGCTCAAGAGCAACCTAGGAACAAAAAACTGGGTTTAGGGCTTAGGGCTGATGGATTAGGGTTTAGGGTCTGGGGTCTGGGGTCTGGGGTTGGGGTTAACAAGGCAACATATAACCCTTAAGAGAGGGAGCAAGGGCCTACTCGCGTCCTAGGAGTTTAGGGTCTAGGGGCAAGGATTGAAATTGGATTTAGGTTTTTTATTCGGATTGAGGGCAGCTTAGGATTTCAGCATATTTCACCATTTGGGGTTCAGGGTTGAGGGTTTAGGGTTTAGGGACCCCGGTTTAGGATTTAGGGTTTAGGGTTTAGGGTTTAGGGTTTAGGGGGGGGGGGGGGCTTCTAGGTTGGATGCACTGCGCTTCGGGGCGGAATCAGGCTCAAGAGCGTTAACCCAATCATCCCCAGACCCTCAAACCTTGAGCCCCAAACCCCCAACCCGAAATGTGAGAAGGGTTTAGGGTTTAGGGTTTAGGGTTTAGGGTTTAGGGACCCCCAACCCCCTGTACCGCAACCCCTCAGGGGTGTTGAGCTTCGGGCTGCGCCAATGGGCGATCTTGAAAACCGGCAAGCTCGGGCCAGTGAATAAATGCTGCGGGATGTTTGCGGTATAGGGTTTAGGGTTTAGGGTTTAGGGTTTAGGGCATACGGGCTGCTTTTTGTTCGCATCAAAGCTCTACCTGCGCTCCAGGTTGCCCACAGCTTCTCGCAAGTAACCTTTCGATAGTAGGTAGAACCCTAAACCCTAAACCCTAAACCCTCAACCCTAAACCCTAAACCCTAAACCCTCAAGCCGGAAGTGGCCCTCTGCAGGTTGCCTGTAACATTCGCAAAAGCCTCCTTGGGGGTGTTGTCAGGATGAAGCTTAGGATTACCCCGACCCAAACCCTACTTGGAGGTTCAGGGTACTTAGTAACCAAGTTTGAGTATAGTTAGAACCCACTTATAAGCATCTTAAGTACCCTCATGGGGTTGTAATTGGCTTGTAAGTACAGTCATAAGGTTTTGGGCGTAGGTCGTGCAACATTCGACCCTCAAACGACTCGATGCCGGAACCCTCGAGCCCTGACGCCCCAAAACCTAGAGTCCCTAAGCCCTCATGTAGGTTACCCGGGAACCAAATCATGAGTTGTTAACGGCTTCCTGCCTCCAAAAAAAATTGGAAAAAAACACACTTCTGGGCATCCTAAACCCTAAACCCTAGACCCTAACCCCTAAAGCCTAGTAGTACAATGGTAGACACACACTCAACCCTCTAGAAACGGCAGCCTGCACAACCCTAAACCCCAAACCCCAAACCCTACTTGGAGGTTCAGGGTACTTAGTAACCAAGTTTGAGTATAGTTAGAACCCACTTATAAGCCCCTTAAGTACCCTAATGGGGTTCTAATTGGCTACAGTTATAACTGGGATGCTAAGTACCCTCAACCTCCAAGGAAACCCCAAACCCAAAAAAACACTACACCTAAACCCCGAACCCTAAACCACAGAGCCTAAACCCTAAACCCCAAACCCTAAACCCTAAACCCCAAACCCCAAATCCTAACCCTAAACCCCCAAACCCTTCTGTCAAGGGGGGGGCACCTCCTCAAAGCGCGGCACCAGTGCCAGGGTTTGGAGAGCCTCTCGTTGGCGGGCGGCGAGGTTTGCCCAGGGCTTCTCATGGGTTTAGGGTTTAGGGTTTAGGGTTTAGGGTTTGGGGTTTGGGGTTTGGGGTTTGGGGTTTGGGGTTTGGTTTGGGGTTTGGGGTTTGGGGTTTGGGGTTTGGGGTTTGGGGTTTGGGGTTTAGGGTTGTTTCCCTACTTAAGCCCAATTAAGGTCATTTAGGAGGGAACCTAGGGGGGGGTGGTGTAGAGATGGGTATACCATAGTAATAGTAGGGGAACTCTTGAGCTTCAGGACTTTGTTGCAAGGTTCTGAGTTCAGAGTATGGAAGCCTTTTAGGGTTCAGGAAAGTTCCGATTTCAGATGTTCGAGGGGCTCGGAGGGTGTAGGGGCAGCCAGAAGGTTTTGAGTTTAAGGAGTGTAGGGTTGGGTTTAAGGAGATTGCGGCTTGCAAGCTGGAAGGGGCTTGTTAGGGAAGCTTCGGGGAGTTTTCGGGACAAGCGATAGCAGGGTCTTCAATGATCTTAAGTAAGGCCCAAAACTAATCCCAAACCCTAAATCCTAAACTCGTGACCCTAACCTCTAAGCCTTAAACCCTATTGGCCCATTGGGAAATTGAGGGCTCTTTGGCCTGCAGTGGCAGCAGAGTGATGGAGGACGGTTCGTCGTCGTCCGCACGGCAGCTGGCAGGTACAGCATGGTGCAGAGGGTTTAGGGTTTAGGGTTTAGGGTTTAGGGTTTAGGGTCGAAAATGCAGGTAGGGTTCAGGGGCATTAGGTTCAGGGCATCGGGGCGTTGAGGCGGTTGAGTGTTTCGGGGAGGAGGGTGCAGGACCTATGGGATTTGCAGTTCAGGTGTTGGGCTCGCCTTGTTTGCGGTCTTAGGCTCTCACAGTTTCAGTGCCCCTAAACCCTAAACCCTAAACCCTAAACCCGAAACCCGAAACCCTAAACCCTAAACCCGAAACCTAAGAACATGCCAAGGACCCTGGGCTGCCAAGCTCATGGTGCTGCGTTGGGCTTCAGGGGTTTGGGATTTAGGGTTTTAGGAGTTTTTTTTAGGAGTGTTTTTTTAGGAGTGTTTTCTTAGGAGTGTTTTTTAAGGAGTGTTTTTTTAGGAGTGTTTTTTAAGGAGTGTTTTTTTAGGAGTGTTTTTTTAGGGTTCTCGGGTTCAGGGTTTTGGGGTCTTAGGGTTTTGTAGGGTTTACGGCTTGACGGCCTTAGGGTTAGGGCTTATGAGGCTTATAAGGCTTGGGGCTGAGCCTTCTAGGGCTTCATAGGGCTTAGGGCTCCAGATTGTTTTCGCAGCAAGTTCGGGGCCTGCAAACGCTGTCGATGCCGGCGTCTGACCGTAAGCCGAGCCGCAGAATGTCCTGTGCCGCGTGGGGGAAAACTCAAGCATTCACTCTGGCCCAAGGGAGGGTTTAGGGTTTAGGGTTTCGGGTTTAGGGTTTAGGGCTAGGGTCTAGGGTCTAGGGATGTCTTGGGTCTAGGGTTTACGATTTAAGCTTGCTAGGGCAGATATAAACCCCTAACCCCTTGAGCCTCCTACAGCTCCGAACCCCGGAATCCTAAGCCCAAACCTGAAACCTAAGGGTCCATGTACCCACATAGTATAAACTTGGGCCTCACAAAGGGGTTCCTTCTTAGTAGCCTTCAAGCTGGGCCGAAGCAGACTTTGCCCAAACTGGCTGAGGAACCCTAAGCCCTGAGCCCCTAAACCCTAAACCCTAAACCCTGAACCCTAAACCCTACACCCTAAACCCTAAACCCTAAGCCCTAAACCCTAAAACCCTAAACCCTATACTTATACCGAACCAACTGGCTGAGGCTGCCACCAAGGCAAGCGTCAGCCGCTCCAAGCGCATTTCATCCCAGGGCACATCCTTAGAGTTTAGGGATGTGGAGCGTGGTCCCTAAACCCTAAACCCTAAACCCTAAACCCTAAACCCTAAACCCTAAACCCTAAACCCTAAACCCTAAACCCTAAACCCTAAACCCTAAACCCTAAACCCTAAACGGTTTCGGGTTCTTGGGGCTTTGGAGATCAGGTTGAGAGGAGGGACTTTAGGCCTTTCGGGGCTGAAGGTGTAGGTGGGAATTGAGACTTTTTGACTGGGATGTTCTCCCTCATATTAACAGTCCTTACTAGGGATTAGAGCATCCCCGATTGTAATCCCTATTCAGGATTGTTGGTATAAGGGGGAACATCCCGAATGCGTTCCCGGGTTTGAGGGCCTCAGGGCCTCAAGTCTAACGAAGCCTTGTCGGGCGCAGGCTTGCGGACTTCGGTTTTGAAAGGTCGGATTTGCCACTGAGGGTTAGGGTCAGGGCGCTTAGAGTTTCGCGGCTTCGCGGGGCTTGACATGGGTATTCTTGTCCCGTAAAAGACTTAAGGCAGTAAATTCTTCGATCCGACACCAAGGGATACATGGACAGACGCTGCAAATCTCAAAGACCCTGAGCTCCTCAAACCCTTAGACGAACTCCACTGGAAAGACCCCAATGACCAAAATCACTCGGCGAAGCATCATTTTCCACGTCCGAGAGAAGACCAGAGGCGATCTCAAACACAGCCTTGCTTGGAGCATTCTTCACGCGCAGCATTGCATGTGCTTCAAGTACAAACACGCAAGAGACTGGACTAAAACATGTGCTTGGGCTTGGAGTTTGGACATTTGGTGTGGTCGAAGTCTGAAGTGAAGGCGGTAAGTTCAACCCCCCCCCCCCCCCCCCCAAAGAAAGCTGAGTGGAACAACTACCCACCCAGAAGTCTCCCCCCCTCCCCACACACACAAAACAAAACAGAAGCCCTGCGCTGACCTGATAGCCGCTGCGTGCGATCAGCGTCTCCTCCGGTGGGGAGACGCTGCTCGGCGGGCTCCAGAGGAGCAGTAGCCTAGGGAAGTGAAGAGGCCGAGGGTGGAGGGTTTAGGGTTTAGGGTTTGGGGTTTCGGGTTTGGGGTTTAGGGTTTAGGGTTTGGGGTTTAGGGTTTAGGG